ATTGTACTATTTAACAATACGTATTATTTGTAAGTTAATAAATAAATTAATATCAATGACTTTCAGAAATATTTGTTTGAATCAATTTAGATAAATTTTCATTGTTTTTACTTTATTTATTAGACTCTATACGGCTGTTAGTAGTGATTCAAAAGGAATTTGGCGTGCACAATTAGCATTAGCTACTTGTGATCAGAATTGTTTGACGAAAACCAATTGGAAATATTATGGACCTTTATTTCCTAATGTATTTTGGAGTAAAAGTGGTAGCTTATTAGTTCATAATGATACACATCGTTATTTATTCTTTAATGATTCAAATATTTCTATCGCTCAAACAAAAGATCTTATTCATTATGATTTATCCTCTGCATTTCTTCTTAAAACTCGTCCTGATCATTTTGATTCTGAACTTGTCGAAGCTGGACCACAACCATTAAAATTAAGTGATAAAAATTATTTATTTCTTTATAATTCAGGACGAAAAACAACCACTCCAAATCCTAAACCTGGTTGGAATATTCAGTATAATTTAGGATGGGCAATATTAAATGGAGATGATCCAACACAAGTTTTAGCTCGAAGTGAACAACCAATTTTATCACCTGAATTAGATTGGGAAAAATGTGATAATAGTTCAGGAATATGGGCTAATCGTGGTCTTACACCATTAGTTATTTTTGTTGAAGGTTGGAAACAAACAGCTGAAAATACATTCTTAGTTTGGTATCAAGGTTGTGATTCAACGATGGGTTTAGCTGAACTTAAAGTATATTTTTCATAAATTATAAACAATACATTATTTCCTTAGTCATAGTAACATTGTTTTATCTAAGAAATATATATATATATCGAAAAGATAGACAATCACTCAAGTTTTATATTAATTGGATTTTAGAAAATGCAATAGAACAATAAGTCATCATGCCCTTCAATTTGTTCTGTAGAATTTTATGATACTATCCAAAATGGATTGAGTTAAATTTAACATTGTCTATTAAGAATTATTATAATTACAGTCGAGATAGTTCTATTTTGTAAAATATCGTCATTTTTTTTTGGTTAATAAATAATCAATTTATGAATCACGAATAGATATATAAAACAAATTGAAAAAGCAACTTTGACATTTTTGATAAAATATCATTTCAAGATTGAAAATAGTTGTGATTGCATATGTAGAATTAAATATCATATTATGCGACAGAGAAAATGAAAGAAACAAAACCCACATACATATACAGAACAAAAGAAAAACATCTCTATCACCTGTTACGCAGCTCTTTTTACATGTGTTTTTTTTTTGTTTTCAAAACAAACAACTTTTTAGATGTTCTTTTTTTTTTTATCCATGGTGATATGGATTTGGATGATGACTAATTAAACTTGAGGATAAATTATGCATACGCATATTTCGTGTATATTCATCTTCGGCATGTTGATGTTGTTGTGGATATTGAGAATGAAATGACATTGTATTATCCTTGAAAGTAAAAAAATAGTAAATATATTTTCTATTCTATCCTATGTAACTTACAAGAGTTGAACGAACATTAAAATCACATGATGATGGTGGTGGTGGAAATGGTGAATAGAAAACAGCTGCAGCGGCAGCAGCACTAGTAGCTGGATCTGTTGCCATCATAATACTAGTTGGAGATGATGTCGATGCATTTCCTCGACTATTGAACATTTGATGAAATGATGATGATGATGTTGGATTTGTTGAAAATACTTTGGATGTTAATCGAGCAGATGATGATATAGATAAACTATTCAATGGTGATGAATTATGTGAATGTTTACGAGCTTTTGCTCGACGGTTCTGAAACCATACCTAAACAAAAAAACAAAATTTTGTTTTTTAATTGTTTCGTTATATTTGATACTCATTCAACCATATATAAATATGATTCTACATGACATGTGTAAGGAGGTTCTCTATTACGAAGAGAAATGACACCTTAGTTGTGTCTATTCTAAAGAAGTGGGCCCATATGTCCAAATTTTGTTTAATTCGCTGCCGCTATGATGCTGATTTCTTTTCTTTCTTCTTCCGTTCTTTTTTTTT